CAGCGCAACAACTCATTGCTAAGCCACTGCGCCACAGGCCCGTCAATTAGAAAAAGCTTGGTAGCGATCACCTCATTCTCAGGGGTTACCATCATCCATAATAATTATAATGTAAAGTACGTAACATAACAGTATCATGTTGTATCCAATGAGAGCTTTGTCCTTCCCCGGTAGAGCCGATCCAATGATCCAATCCTAGTATAGTGTCGCTCTACAACGTCAAACATACATCTTTGAATACAACTGAAAAATATCGCTGTATGTGTAAGTCGGCTTAAACTAGCCTTTATATGTCCGGAGCTAGGGTTGCCAGCTCCCGTTTTATGTTTTCGAGGAATTGGCAAGATTAAATAAATGACATACGATAAAAATAGAGAATATCATATTCTTTCCATAAAAGCTATCATGGTATCAGTAGTAACATTTATTAATAAAAAAATGTTCCTTGTAATTGTGTACACATGTGAGAAGTGAAACTTCTCTAAGACATCATTCTTGTTTTATTTTATATTTAACTGAAGTAGGTTAAATAAAAGTACACTCACGCAGCCCCGGCGGTGTAATATTACAAGAAAACGTGACTTTTTTATATTTTTAATACTGTATTATATTTCTCTACCACGTGGATAAAGAAGTTTGACTTCAAAAAGCAATGTTAGTAAGCAATGTAACATAATTTGTGTCTCTAACACCGCGCGTCACCTCTACGTGATTTTTAAACTCTTTGACCTCAACTAGCAGAGGGATACGCGCGATATCATCCTCTATCAAAATTAAAAGTTAAAGTTACAGCTTATATACGTCCTACTACTGAGCACAGCCCTCCTCTCATTTCTGAATGGGTTTTAGGGCAAGGAAATGTCCGCCGCGCAATTCCAATGCGTGTTGGCGAACTTCACATGTTTTCAAACATGCGGGTTTCCTCACGATGTTATCCTTCACCGCCGAGCACGTGGTAAATCAGCACATAAAATTGCAATTTACAATTTCATTGGTGCCGACGGGGAACGAATCTGGGGTGCTCGCGTACTGTCAGCGAATTTGCAGCGAGCGCTTAGCCCCTAAGCTATCACAAAGATTTCAAATTTGCGAACAAGATCAATTATTGAGTGTGAAAAAGATGACGTCCTTTAAAATAAAGGATGCCTGGTAACCCTAATCGGGGCTAATACGAATAGACTCCAGCGTTTATCTGCGGCTTATGTCGCACAATGGGATAAAATTATTATGAACGTAAAATTTCCGCTGACGTCATTTCCCCTCGATAATATTGATTGGGTTACTCCAGTTTTGCGTGAATACGCTAGGCTAATCATCAGGTGGAATGGAGGTCAAGAATTAGCCTATTTCAAATTAAAAAATCAGCATTGCAGAAGTACTTGAAGACCTTTAAAGCGTGTGCCGCAACGCTCTTGCGATAACAAGGCTCTTGTGGTTAGAAGAGGGCTTTGGTGACTATGGCATAGAGATATTATTATTTTTAAAAGCTTTTTAAACAAGTGGTGAAATTAAAAATTTTGTACAACCGACTTCAATACAAATAAAATTAGAGCATCGTCAATGTAGTCGAAGTCAATTAAATACGCATTATTGAGGATAACTCAAAAACTACTGGTCAGTTCTTGATAAATTTGATTAAATCATTTGACCAATTTGATTAAATACGCAATTTGATTAAATCAAAGATCATTTGATAAATTTGATTAAATACGCATTATTAATCAAAGATCTTGATCAAATTATATGGAATCACAAATGAAAATCAGCTTAATGCTGCTGTGGTAAATTTTATGATGAGTGTAGAAAAACAGAGACCCTTTTTACTGAATACGAGGCATTCCATCGTAGTCCTGCGTCGTGACAACGCATCTTCATTTGGATTCTTAATCGAAGACTTACTACTTACCATCAGATAAATAAATAAATAAATAATAAATAGATTTTATTTCGTTTTTAAAAAGTAAATGCCTTAAAAACTAGTAGATTGGAACCTCCATTTAAGCAAATAATGCCTGTGTTTGGAGGGTCCGCCCTTCCATTACTATATCCATGTTACAAGGCAGTATGGATAAACATATTCTATATCCATATTAATGTTATATATTACTTAAATTCTATATTAATTCTATTCTTAGTTTATTTACTTATGTATGCGCGCGCGCGCGCGCATGTGTGTGTGTGTGTGTGTGTGTGTGTGTGTGTGTGCGCGCGCGCGCGCATGTGTGTGTGTGTGTGTGTGTGTGCGCGCGCATGTGTGTGTGTGTGTGTGTGTGTGTGTGTGTGTGTGTGTGTGTGTGTGTGTGTGTGTGTGTGTGTGTGTGTCATGTCTTATGATGAATCCATTCTAACAAAAGTTTTTTACAGTTGTGATATGTTTTGTCGTATATATAAATATCTTTGTTTATTTTATTATAAAGAAAGGCAGAACGCGATATAAATTGTCTGCTTGCAAATGTGGTTTTATCAGATGAACTGTGTGTTCATTTGTAGCCCTTATACTATTAATAAAAACTCGATAACGGAGTGTTCCTGTCGAGGCTGCACATGTTGACGTAAACGCAAGATGCAATTCGTCTTGGGTATTACAATATAACCAAAACGAAAACGCGGGCAACTTCTAAGGCTATGGTTAATATTTAATACTCTGGGGTTAAAAATGTCACCAAATTATTACTGCGCCATTTCTTTATACGTTTCTTCTCAAAACAGAACCACCTCATTGTGAATTAGGTTGTGTGCTCACTTCTCATCCTTATTCTATAAAAAAAAATCAGTTTTAGACAAGATACGAGACGTCTGATTCTGCGACCGCCATTCCGCCATGCCTTGTGATATTGGCCAATTCTCTTTGACCCATGAAGCCCATGTCCAGCGGTGGACTTTCAGGGGTCTAATAAAGAAGGCCAATTAGAATGTTAGAAAACATTTGAAGTACGCTCGTCCCAAAAGCAAATTCGAGGTGAAACGAATTAACTGTGAGTTTGAAAAGGAGTTTGGTCCTTGATACGACCTTCATACTAAGCTGGAGTGCCTCATTACCTTCACTACATACACAAGCTAGTGATACCAGTTTCTCGACTCCACAGAGTCAGTAATTCATGGAGCAATGTATATATGCATTACATCAAAGACCTAGAAAACATACAAGGTCTCTCTGTTACCAAGTTTCATCATCATCATCATTACAGCCCTTTACAAGTCCACTGCTGAACATAGGCCTCCCCCAAAGAATTCCACAAAGCACGGTTCTGAGCCACCTGTATCCATCGACTTCCTGCATGTCTTACCAGGTCGCCACTCCAAGTTTAAATAGTTGATAATAACCACTGGAAATGAGGTGGTCGATTCCAAGCTGTTCCAAGTTTTGTAAATAGTTTAAACACAATGTCCTGCTGGGTTTCTTGCTGGTTCTTCTCGGGACAGAGGTTTTTATCCAAATCAGTGAAACAAAAACGACTTTCAATAAGAACATATAATTAACACATACATATAATTTTATTGAACAAAAAATTATATTCTATACCTACGTCAATGTTTTATATCGCTATCTACTGATAGTCTGCATATGAACATAAGTCTATCCTAAATTAAAAAAAAATAGCATAATCACCGTAACAAACCAAACAGCTGCCCGCATCACCTGACCTTCGCAGTGCCTTTTAACTAGCTTTCCAAAAAGGCAATGGCAACTTCGTAAGAAATGTTTTATTTATTGGAACGAAGTTCCTTATCGGACGTTACGAATTTGGCTGACGGGGGCTAGGCGAGAAAAAGTGTAAGATTTTTCCGTAACAACCCCTTCTGACGTGTAGACGGCCTTGGCGCCTTTAAGCAAGCGAGATGGAATAATATCCATCTCCTTCGCACTTTTTCTTATCGTGCCATGAAAGAAATATTATTTTATTTTTAATGACGCTTAATTTTAATAGGCGCTAGTAGTAATTCATTTATTTGTGTTTGTTAATCAATAATATAATACGTTTATCAATATACTACGAAAGGATCTTCGTTCCAGCCGAGTGTTCCTCGACACTCAAGCATGTTATTTTTTTATTTATTCGTTATGCAAATGTAAGGCCACTTTTTCATGCTTGGCAATTATGGCAACTCTATCCGTAAAAGAGGCCCATATCTAGCCGTGGACGTTATGGACTGATGAGATGAGGGATCTGCACAACATATATTATAGGCAATAGCTTTAATGTTGAAGTTAGCTAAGATAGCTTCGCCATGTTTCCAAACATTTATAATTAATTGCCCAAATACATGTATACACGTGATAATACCACGCTGCAGCGTGCAGGTTGCAGCAGGAAAGGGTTTACCCGACTAAGGAAGGAACATGCTCGCTACAAATACCAGCATAAAATAGCAGCATAGTGCCACTACTATCTTTCTATGTGTGGGTGACGTAACCACGACGAAGCGTTCCATCGTAGTCTTCAGGGCTGACAAACGCCTGGTGTATTTTGATTTTTACTCAAGGATAGTTATAGGTGTCTATAGACAAAAAAAAATTGCTTCTATTAGAACTACAGAAACGGACATGCGACTTAGTGCGTATATTCGCTGCACCACGCAATCTAAAATATACGATAAATACCATCCTTACAGATATGTTAATAAATCTGATGATGACCTGAAAATAAAATACTCGTATGTTACGCATGCGTCAAATTTTTAAGTGCAATTTTTTTACCGCGAACATCATTGTTTCCCGCGCTTCCGGCGGCCGCTGTCAAAATACGCGCACTTTAGCGGCCTGCGTTCTTAAACTTTTCGTTCACACTTAAATCCTGCAAAAATATGCCAAAAACAAATGTGTATAATAATTTAATTATATTAAAAATTATGACTAAAGTTTAAATAAACATTTTTCATAGAATATTTCAAAATAGTTTTTGAGCGCGTACAATGTTAAGAAGTTCGATAAAAAATCCATAGCTGGTTAAAAAATTATTTGAACTTGTCCTTGATTGTTGTGAAAATTTAAATTAATAATGGCGGGTGAAAAATTTCTTTGGGCGTCCACAGTATGGCTTCGGATCATGCTTGTAGCCACCGACCTATGTTATGCACAGTAAGTATTGCTGTAAATAAAAAATATATAGCTAACTTAGACATTTCAGAGCTGGGCACAGTTTTACTCATAGATAAAATAGTATATAGGGCAGGTTTCCTTTTTAGTCGGTTTTGAGGAGTGTCAAAGAGAGTGGCTGAAGAGTGAGTGAAGGTTGTTTGCGAACTATATTTTTTTTACATATGTATTCATAGTCCTTAGACGTCTATGATCCGTGTTTACTCTTAATGTTTTACTTTACAAGGACATGTATATCACAAATAAGTGTTTAAAATAGAAATCTTGCCACTAAAAATCTACCATGTGGTGGCGGTGTAAGAATATCCACTAGCCCTTAAGGTCCCGTGGGTGTCGTAAGAGGCGATAGAGGGAAACTGAAACAGGAAATCTCCTAATGACAACGCAAAATAATAAAAACTGCGGTAGCCAACCCGTCTGCCATGGGAAAATGAGGCAACCTATGGGGGAGACTATATTCAGCAGTAACATTTTATAGGCTATAATGGATGGATTGATATAACCTTTTAAATGCTATAAACATCGGCATAATCTTCATTTGTGGGATTATCCTATTTAACAACTTTTGGTGACGTAAAAAATATAAGAATATTTGGACGTGGTTATGCAAAAAGGATCCAACCCTAAAAAGAAAGCTAATTTGAGGTTATGAAATTTGAAAAGTGGATCTGTATGGCTTGTGTGTGTGTGTTTGTAATTTTTCTTCTTATTTGTGTTACTTTCGCTAAAATTATTACATCACATAATAGTATAGACCACAAACATTATTTTTCAACTGAACATTTTTGACATAAATTACATTGGATCAATTTTTTGCGTAACTATATCCATTTATGAACATAGACTAGAATATAATAGAATAATTTTTATTCAATATTAATTACAAGTAATTCTTATTGAAAGTATTTTTTTTACATTAGCACTGGTTCGAAAAAGCCTCTGTCCTGGGAAGAACCAGCAAGAAACCCAGCGGGACTTTTTTTTAAATAAATTTTACAATATAAATGATTACAAACTATTTACAAAATTTATTTTAGAAACAGCTTGGAAGCGATTGTTCCTAGTGTTTACCGAATGTATATCACTTTTTTTACTAAAACTATCCTTGTTTTTGTGAACATACATTAAATTTTCGTAAATATACTGAGAGGCCAAACTTAATATATTTATTTCTTTAAATTTTAATATATATATAACCGTGGTAGCTCAGAGTTCAGAGGCTATTTGCAGCCACAATTTATTATAATAGTATACAAGCAATCCAGTTTTGATCCCCGCCGGCACCAGTGATATTGTTAATTGTTGTTTTAAGTTCTAGTTTATCACGTGCTCGGTGGTAACTTTTTTTATAGAATGGGCGTGACAAACGAGCACACAGTCCGCCTGATGGTTAGTGGATGCTGTGGCCCATAGGCGTCTACATATATCTTCGATTAAGAATCAAACTGCAGATGCATTGACACCCCTGAGGACTACGACGGAATACCTCGTTTCAAGTAAAAAGGGTCTCCGGTTCTCTACCCTCACCATACAAAACACGGCAGAATTAAGCTGTAATTTTATGCTGGTATTCTATGAAAGCGTGGTTCTTTCCTGGTCGAGCCGACTCATTCGTGCTGTAACAATAATTTAGCTACAGCGTGGTTCTACTACGTAAAAACTGGTACAGGAACTATTTCTAATAGAGGCTGTCAACAGTCTACGGCTAAAAATAGATCTCCCTCGTAGATTGCCTCATATTTGCTTTTGTATTATATTATATTATTTATATTTGGGATTTGCTATAGTAGCCACGCTAGGTTGGAGTATTGGCAACCGTAGATTTTGAGTTTACTTCAGAAAGATAACAAGTCAAACGTGATAGAGCCACACTGCAATTATTTATATGGTTGTAGCACGAATGGGTCGGCTCGACTGGAGAAGGAGCATGCCCTCACAGAATACCAGCGTAAAATAGCAGCTTAACGCTGTATTAGTACTTTAATGCTACTGTGTTTCGTGTGGTGAGTGTAGACAACCGGTAACCCTTCAGGTGGACTGTGTGCTCGTATGTGTCACCCTTATTCTACCAGCAGCACTATCAGTTTTGAGACTATCAATGGTAAGGACAACTTCCTAGGGATCAGTGTCACAAAGAACGAATGATGTCAAATGTGGACTTGTATTTTGGGGGTCGACAGGTCCGTGTATTAGTATAGGAGTTTCAGTTATATTGATGTCATTAACTATTTTTTTTCCAATGATAGAAAAAAATTCACCAACAAAATTAATTAATTCACTAGGAGATGATTTTATTGTAAGGAGTTCATTAATACGTGCCTTTGGGGGTTTGTATTGAGTAATAGTATTTATAGTTTTCCAAAGATTTTTGAATTTTTAGAAACATTAGTAGGTTGTTCCTGCTCAACACAAAAACCAAAATAAAAGTAGTTTTACAAAAATAAGTGATATTCATTCTGTAAATACTAGGAACAGACACAAGCTAGTAGTACCAGTTACTCGACTCCATCGAGTCAGTAATTCATTCTTGGGGCGATGTCATACGCTTTTACAACAACATTCCAGAAAATATACATAGTTTGACCTGCTCAAAGTTCAAAAACTTTATTAAACTAAGTTTGTATAAAAAGGGTTATTACAATATTAAGGAATTTATGGATGATAATAACCCCTGGAAATGAGGTGATCGCTACCAAGCTATTTCTAATTTGTTGTGTTGTTAATTTGTGTAACATCATAATTGTAAGCTGTTATTTTTTTAAAAAAGTCCCGCTGGGTTTCTTGCTGGTTCTTCCCAGGACAGAGGTTTTTTCCGAACCAGTGGTAATCAAACAAAAGAGTGCCTTTCAATAAGTATTATTTATAATCTATATTGAATAAAAAAGTTTCTGTGTCTGTTTCTGTCTCGTATTTTCTTTTTAGTTTTTTTTTTTTAAATCAAATTGTTGCAATGATTACAATATCTTTTAAATGTTATTTTTAGAATATTATTGTCTGGGTCAGATTTTATAGTTTAAGCTGCATTTAATTTGTGTTCTTTATACATTGCAAGATACCTGTACTGATCCTAATAATTAAACTCCTGGCAATAAAATAGAGTCGGGCAGCTTTAGGAGTTAATTTCTCAGATACAAATATTGGGGCCTCCTCGGAGGTAGTCATAACGAGATGTTTCGCGCGGAGCTTAGATTTGTTCATATTATTAAAGATCTTGCATTTCTTGAGCGATTCCATTTTCTGAGAGGATGCTTTTTGTACAACAATAGGTGTATTCTGAGACCCTTCTTTTTTCCGCGTACTCTATAGATGTCAAAACATTGTTTGTTTGAAACTTTTTTTGGTACATTCTTAATTTCAAAATTAGCTGTCCTGTGTGCAGAATTTCTATTTTATTTTCCAGAATCTCTATATAAAGTCTATCTTTCTTAGACTGTGATTCTAAAGTAGCTATTTCCTTTTTAAACTCTTCATTTTGCTGGCTAAGGAGTTCGATCGGATTTTCAATTTTAGCATTTGTTTCTTGTATACGAATAAGGGTAGGATTAATATTTTTAAATTCATCCTGTTGTTCCGTAAACAATAATTTAATCATAAATTTCATTTCCTGTTTAAATTTCACGAAATCACAAACCAGGGTTTCTGCTTTGGATTGCAGAGAAGCGTCTTCACTGTCATTTTTTCTTTTGTTACCTCTTTACCGTTCAGATATTTTAAAGTGAGGCGAAGTATCTTTTGGAGTTATCTAATTCTCTAAGATTTGTCTCAGAAAGTGACTTATACATATTCTACACATTTAGTGGTCGATATATCACGGTACTATAGCATTAATACTATACCATTAAGTAAACATTTTTAAAATGTTTGTCTGTCTGTCTGTGTTTATCTTCGGAAAGGTTCAACCGATTGTGATGGAACTATACGAAGATTTTTTTTTTTGAAAACAATAAACGAAAAATTGGTTAAATAAATGGTCTTTGATTATATAAACTCTAAACAACGCCACTTTAATAGATCCCATTCAGGCGAATTTTAATAAATAAATCTTCAACACGGTTGACCCTTTTTTTTATAGGATAGGGTGACAAACGAGCACAAAGTCCAGCTGATGGTAAGTGGTTGCTGTGGCCCATATACATCTACATCTATCCTCATTTGCGAATCAAAATGCAGATGAGTTGTCACCCGTGAGGACTAAGATGGAATGCCTCTTTTCCAGTAAAAAGGGTGTCCGGTTCTCTACACTCACCATACGAAATACAGCAGTGTTAAGCTGCTATTTCACGCTGGTATTTTGTGAGAGCGTGGTCCTTCCCCGGCCGAGCCGACCCATTCGTGCTACAACTATACTACTAATATAGCTGCAACATGACTCTATCACGTTGAAAACCCTACAGGCCATCCCTGAAACTTCCCGCATATTTTCGAGCACAACGCTCGAAAATCTATTTAATTATGATTTTTTGTTTTTTATTTTTTGAAAATCTTTGAAACGGCTCCACCGATTGACTTGAAAATCTAATCAGCTCAAAGTCAGAATGAATACTTTCGAACGCCGCCATGTCGCCAATCTCGATCGGTTAGTTCGTTCTAAAGATATCGTACAACAAAATTTTATTTACATACATACATACTTGTACATACATGCATACACACACACATACACACACGGCCGAACGTCCAGCCGGGAATAGTCGGAACGGCTTCCTATGACCTCGTGGAGATCTGATGAAAAAAATTCTCAAAATCGGACCGAAATCTATGTATCACTTTCCTACTTATGAAAATTATTAATTTGTAAAGCGGGAAGTTAAAAAAGTGACATGAACTTCGCCAACTCTCCCCGTAACATTTATTCCCTTCTAAATTGAGAAGCTGCACAATGTACATAGAGACGCATGTCCATATTCCACTTTATTTACTTTAACACAAAATATGTTACCCAAAAACTAAACTTTTCTTTATATACAAAGCCACCTATATTT